CCCTCGTCTGATCAGCGGCTTTTTCCTCCCCCGGCTCGTGTGCATTGGCAATAGCTTTCTCCGCTTTCTCTAGCATCCAGGCCGGCACTATGTCACAGTCGGACAAGTCACTCGTCGAATCGCCCAAGCCAAGGCGACCGCCATTGACATCTTTGAGCAGCTCGACCAAATCATCGCAACGGGCAAAGCCACCTCCACCTCTTGTATTAATCACCTGTTCTGCTTCGGCCGGTATAGTCAACGTGTGCGAGCGTTTCAGTACGCTTCTAACTTCTCGTCTGCCAGATTGCTTGACAGAACTGTGCTCCGACTTAGCCTCATAATCCGTTCTGGAGGGTCCTGTGGCGGTCGAGGTTTTCGACTGTAATGGTGACTGCGTCAAAGCTGTATGGCCTAACGACTGACCCAGGGGAAAATATACAGGCCGCGACTCAGATGCTGACACTATTTGGTCGGTAGAAGACACTTGGAGAGGAGGCTGTAGGTGCTGTGGTTGAGAGGATATTTGGAGCGGCTGTCGAGCCCCAGGTTGAGGGTGTGTGTGACTCTGAGTGCCCAAGGAAGCGGCAAAGGGTGTCGCAACAGAACTTGTTGCAAGTAAAGCCGGAAAACTGGGAGAAATCGACTGCGAGGAGGAAGAGTCTGGACCCAATCGAACGTGGACGTTATCAGGCATCAACTTAATAGTATCAATGAAGGATGGTGTCATCGGCTTCTTGTCAGACATGGTTGTTGTTGTTGCCTTGGTTGGGTTCACTTTCTCAAGGCATTTTTCGGCCGAAGGTCTATCCTCAATGGGCAATTCACATAGTGACGAGGTATAGAAGAGACTGTCGTCAGCAAACTCGTATATCTGGAAGGGTTTTGTAAAATAAATGGAAGTAACATAAGGAAAGATAAGCATGGCCAATAGTATATTTCGAATAAATAGGTTTCAAAGCTATTAGATAAATTTTCCCATAATGATATTATTAAGCATCGCAATTCAATTCAATATCCCTTATATTTGGTTAGTATAAGATTTTCTCATCCAAGTTTCAGCTTCACCTGGGTCTTATCAGCACCTGCAATGAGAAAACTATATATATATATGGGTTTTGTTCATCCTATTTCGATTAAGGTGATGAGGGACTGGTAGTTAAATTTTCCCATATTGATATGAAAACCTACTAAAAACGATATATAGATATAGATAGAAAGATAGATAAATAGATGGAAAGATCATAGAACTTTCGTTCGCTAAGAGGTATAGAAATCTGTGAAAGATTTAAGCCTAATCTTCAGATTAGCTAATGTAAGCTCAACTTTCATGGCTGAAAATACCAAGTTATCCCAGAAAACTTACTCTAAGCAAAGACACTAATCTATCTGCTGTTAATACAGAGATGCCATTTCAAACCTAAACTTTATCTGTCTACTAGGTAAATCTGGATGAAACAGCAATATTAAATAATAATAGCTATCACTCAGATAAGATCTATAAACTCAAAAAATGAAAGTATCAAGAGGTTTACTAAGTAATTGCAATCCGAGCCACATAACGTGAAATAAGGGGATTGTATATGTATACATTTGTCCTGAGCTGGCATTTGACCTAGGGCATATATGAATCCATAAACTCGAAAAGCCTCGATACTTTTATATCTTCTAAAAATAGTTTATTCAAGGCTATCTATTTGTCTATCCATTGTTAATCACATTCTCCTTAATAAACGCAAATTTTTACTAACTAAAAATTATAGATAGCC